CGTTGAAGATCAGAGCCCCGAACTTGACATTTACAACTAAAAACCATCATCAACCTGTCGCTCTATGTACAGGTGTGAAAAATATACTCCTCACCTTCAGGTTCGCTATGGTGAAGTCTTTTGGGTCAACCTTGTCGCGTTTGTCCCAGCTGTACACCTTCGGCGCTTCGTCCTCTTGCGCGGCCGGCTCTTCAGGGTGTGAGCAAAGGCACCCCATGTCTGTGTCGGGCAGGAATACTCCGGAATTGGAGAGAATTTTGGAGACAAAATGTGGGGAAAATCGCCCCGCCTAAAACCTAAACACCTGCTCTGGACGTTTGGAATGAGCTAATTGAACCAAAGCGAGGCTTCGACCTCGCTTTCGGAACAGGATTTAGTTTGAGATGTCAACTTATCGCTGATTGGTTTGATTTGTGAACGCTGGCCAATCATGAGAGGTTTGACATTTCCTCACTTGTTTTCTCAACAAAATGGCGGCGGCTTGAAAAAGTGCGAATGGATCGTCTGAAAATTTGGAGATTTTTCGCGATTTTCTTGAGATATATGGATTCTAACTGAATCTCGGCGAATGGTGAGTACGCAGTGTGGCGTTAGATACTTGACCAGGATGAGCTTATTCATTTGTATCGCTTGCATTGTTGTATACGATTGATTTTACACGGAATTGCACTGACAGCTACCTAGCAGACGAAAATCCCCTTTGCAGCTCTGTTGACATTTGACACCACGCCTACCGTACTAGTATATTATAGACGTTAAACAAAGACAACAACAACAATGTCAACGTTTTGTACGAACGTCTTTGTCCGCGAAATTTGGCCCTCACTCAAATCTCTATGACCATACATTAGTCATTTTCTTGAACTTAGAATAACTATTTATAGTTCTAAGATAAAGGATATGAAATCACTATGGCCGTACAGTGCACTTTTTGGGGCCCCTGGCTGAAATGTAGTTTTTATTTGTGTCCTGATCCTGAATCTTAATTGCCCAACCCTTTTAAGGGCCTTATGGCCGTGAAGGGGTCATATGGGGGTAACCCTGATGCATAATGATGTTATGAGAGAGATTGTAAGCAAAAATATGAATGAAACTTGTAAAAAAAAATACCGAAATTGTACAGTTGATTTTACATTGAGAACAAACAAACTGTTTTGCAGTAAACAACACTACTAAGATGCTCTCCAGACCTGTCCTCATCACTGCTGTTGGCATCAGCTGCATTCTGTTCCTCTACACAGTCACCAGGACTGGACACATTCCAGGTCAGTGCCTCTTTATAGTGGATCAGATAGAACTGGGAAGGTAACATTTGGAAAGCAACTACATAATGTGTACCTTCACATTATCAAGCCCAACAAACTACTGCTCTGTTTCTTCTTACTAGTAGTACACACACACACACACACACACACACAGTGACCAGCTCCTCCAACTCTGTCCTGCCACTAAGACTTGCTATATTATGTGATCTACCACCACGATTGTGTTTGCTACAGGTTTAAACGGAAATTAAACCTATTTCTTAAACAACATCTGAGAACCAATGCAAGAAATTAAATTGATGTGGCCTTACATATATGCATGTACATGTGTGGGGCATAGAATGACATCAGGAGGAAACATTGTTTGCAAATGTTGGCTTTTCTCTCTCTAATAATCTTTCCTGTTTCTACATCACCAGGCACTGTTGAACCGCCCATCCCTGGTGCCCAGACAGACAGCCCTAAGCATGTGCTAGTAACTGGAGCTGCCGGCTTTGTAGGGTTCCACCTGTCCAAGGCTCTGTTGGACAAGCCTCACGCTAGAGTCTTTGGTGTGGACAACTTTGACAAGTGGTCAGACTTAAAACTAAAGCAGGTGGGTGGGGCTGATCATGCTTGATATACATCCTGTAACTCTGATCTCTTGTTGCACAAAAAATGCAGATACAACAAACTGAATCATCTGGTGATATACTGAAAATCAAAGATATCCGTGTCCCACTGTTCTGTAGCCAGCTTCCATCTTTCCATCATTTGGCATAATTTGGCAACTTATGATGGACAAAATATTGCCCAATCCATCACCTTTGACAGACAAAAATTAGTATGAAAAGATATGGAAAGAGATGTTACTAAACTAAGCTTTGTCTATATACCAGCAAAATTGCCCCTCAAAATGCCAGAAATATTGTTTCAGGGAGTCAAGATTTCAGCATTTTTCCATGTGACTTATTGCACCTTTTGCACTCGAAATGATTGACTCGTCATGCAAAATTGAGAAGACGGAAAAAAATTTCATGCTGGCTAGAACACTGTGTCAAACCCACCGTGAATTGCAGCCACAAACACACAAACATGACTGAAAACAGTACATTTGCACTTTCCTGTGGAAGGCTACATGTCTCTCCTAATATTAAACCTGTTGTGACCAATGTACATGTTGTAATGGTATCTGCAGGACAGAGCCCATGAGCTGTATGAATACGGAGTGGCCCTGGAGGACGGGGACATCTGTGACCAGGAGTACCTGACCGACCTCTTCAGGAGGGAGAACTTCACCCACGTGGTGCACCTGGCGGGGAGGTCAGGGGTCAGAGGTCAGGACCTGGATGCTGCAGCCATCATGGAGAACAATGTGGAGTGCTTTGTGAACTTACTGGAGGTCATGAAAAACTATAAGGTGATTTTTTAGTGCCTTACCACTAAAGTTTGGTGTTTTCTTTGTGCATTTTGGCAGTCTTCCTTTGAAAACAAATCTGCACATCATGTTTCTGTAGCCATGGAAAATATATTGTTTTTGCTCTGTTCTTCTTCTCAAAACAAAAAAGGTCAATGACTTTTACTAGACAGCTGTCACCATGGTAACTTGTCCTGTAGCCGACCATCTGTGGTGTTGAATTACATTATGTAGCAAGTGAGGACAGAGTTGAAGGAGCTGGTCACCATGAATGTCTTTAATGTAAGGATGAACAGAGCAGTAGTTTGTGGGGCTAGACCACATCATTTTGTATTTGCAATCAAATGGTACATCTGTACCTTTCCAGTTATTTCAGTTTTTCTTCAGTTCTTTGGCTGTACTCAACACCATTGTTTCTAATCATCCAACTGAAGTAAGCAATGCAATCTTCATGTCAGAAAGCCCTTCATCCTCTGCTATAACTTTAAGCACTGAAAACTTTTGTGCTTCAATGTTAAGATTTTTGGAATATAACTAATAGTAATAAATCCATCTTTTCTCCTTCAATTCTTTCTCTTCTCAGAACATCAAGCTTGTCTATGCCTCGTCAGCATCAGTCTATGGAAGCTCGTCCCAACTTCCTTTCTCCCCCTCTCATCATGTAATCCAACCTGACACCATAGAGGGCCTTGCCAAGCGGACTGGAGAGCTCCTTGCACAGGGTTACTGTAAGGAGTATGGTCTGCATCAGGTTAGTTATTTATGTTTCCATGCCAGTCTTCCACAGAATTTCAGGGAAAGGTAAACCTCCTGTCACATGTTTAGGGCCTTCCCATATCTTTGCTCTTGACGAAATCTCAACCAACATCGGTGCTGGGTTGGGTAACTTGGGTTAGCCTGGAATTTATTCACTCCCAATTATTATCTAGAGAAGGATTAAAGCCAGCCATGTGTGTTAAGTTATCTTGATCATGACTGTGTTAAAGAGACTGGACATTTGGTAAAATGTAATAAGTGTTAATCTGTCTATGGCAGGTGGGGTTGCGTTTCTTCACGGTGTACGGGCCATGGGGACGGGAAGACTCGGCCCTCAACATCTTCACTCAGCAGATGCTGGAAGGAGAGGTCCTACAGGTGTTCCACACCAGGTGTTACATTTGCATCTTTGTTCTCAATTTGTAATAATAGTAATTTCCAACACAAAAAATTGAGCAATCCAACACTTCTGTGACATCACGTTATGCAAATGCCACACGTGACTTGGTGAACAATGAATCATAGGTTATATGATAATTATTACAGAAAGTCTATGGTGCCAACATCCCCACCCCCACCTTTGTTGAGGCATGGTTTCAATGCCCTGATGTAGATGGCCTCTTTAAAGTTTAATGCCTTGTGCAAAAAATGTCTGGTTCCAAGTTTCACTTTGTCCAGTGAGGCCAAATGAACTTGCTTCATGGTGATTTCTACCTACACAGATGAACTTTTTTCAAGATTTAAAAAAAGCATTTTTTACCAGTTATTCAAGCTTAAAACATTTCTGCTTGTTTTGAAGGGAGGGCCGTCCTCTGGAGAGAGACTTCCTGTATGTGGAGGATGCAGTGCGAGGTATCCTGTCAGCCCTGAACTTCAGCCCGACCCACTGTGGACATGTGTTCAACCTGGCGTCAGGTCAGGCACAGTCAGCAGTGGACCTGGTGGCTCTACTGGAGCAGCAGCTCAACATTCAGGCACAGGCGGTCAGTTTTTTTTGTCACGTTTTACTTTTTTTGTCAAGTGTACACAAGGAAAACATGTTGTTTTTACTCTATTTGTCCTTCTTATATTCCAAACAAATAATATCAAGGACTAGCTGGACCAGATGACTGTCACCATGGTAACTGGTGCTGTAGCAGACACCCTGTAGTGTTTGGTTACATTATGTAGCAAGTGGCAGGACAGAGTAGGATGGGCTGGTCACCATATATGTGAATGTTTGAGTAAGAATAAACAGAACAGTAGTTTGTTGAACTAGACTGTCACCATATGTTGAAGTATCTGCTATAATCACATGTAACATGCTAAGAGAATAATTTATCTTACAAGAGAGTGTGAATATAATGAAGTACGATATACATGGCTTGTGTATGTTGTCCTTACAGGTGAAGGTGCTTGCCCCTCCCCTGGAGGTTGTTCGGATGATGGGTGATGTACAGTGTTCCCTGCAGCAACTAGGATTCAAACCCAAGGTGTCTCTCCATCAAGGTAGATAGATAAACTAATTAACTGGTGGACATACAGACTAATAGAATGTACTATCTACTATATACCAGCCAAAAAAAGAACAAGAAATAGTCTTGCCTTCAAGTATTCAGAGTTATCAATGAAGGATTGAGGTGTTCCAAAACTTGTTTTTCCCTAAAACTATTGTAGAGTGGAACTTGCTGTCACCAAGTATAATCAAGGTTTCTGTCCTAGGCCAAAATAATGGTATTCCTTGAACTGAAATTGTCTCTTCTTTGCTTCTCTGTGTTTTAGGTGTGCAAGACTTTGTCCAGTGGGCCCTGAAGTATCGAGAGCAACAGAACAGAAACCAGAAGTCTAAACAGGCCAGCCTGTCACAGAAATTCAGAGAAAGGTAAAGTTACTGTCACACATGAAGGACCTTCACTCAACAAAATCAAAATTGAACAAATTGAATTTTTCAAGTCCCATAATATTGAAATGTTTACATTTTTTTCATAACTCCCCAGAGACTTTAAATTTGTACATTGAGCATAACTGTCATTTTTCTTTGCATAGAGCTGACAGATATCTATTGCTAGATTGTAGAACATCAATGGATAAAGATTTATAAAGAGTGTAGTGCAAGACTATCATTATCTTACATTTTCCTACTGAAAAAAATGCTCCTTTATACTAGAAAAAATGTTTTTCTGTGTGTAAGGCTTCTTGTAAGTTATGTTTGTACATGTATGTTTTTATTTTTCACAGCCTCAGTGCACGTTGTTTATTTTGTGTCCCAGAGTCCACATCCATGTAGTAAGTAATAAGTATATGATTGCTTCCATACTTTTCTTATTTGAGAGTTTTCTATACGGTAGTCTTCAGGCCTTGTTTGGCTTTGTTCTGTAAAAAGATACAGTGAGTTTGTTACTTTCTACTTTTTTGACCTCTTTGGTTTTATGCTTGTATTTTGCTTTGTTTGTTTTGCATTACCACAAAATATATCACCTCAAGGCAGAACACACCACATGATTTGGGGAGGTAAAAGGCACTGGAAGGAGAAGGATGGGCTCCACCTTCCAATACTGTGCCTTAGACACAGTAGACTAACAACACACTGCTCCTACAGCCTGAAAAAGGCTATGAGAAACCTTTACCATTGTTATGTTTGTTAAGATTTACCTTTGGCTTCAATCATAACACTGATATGTTTATCTGCAGGCTTTTGTCAGAGAGAAATGAACGTGAGGAGCGACTGCAGAGTGAGGCGTTGGCACGGAGGAATGAAGAGCTGAGAACAATGGTTCAGCAGCAGAGAGATGTGTGAGTAGATCGAGAGCTGCTACAAAGAAAAGAACATGATTTCCAACCAATATAACTGTTGAGCTACATATGTGTATTCTCTTTCACTGGAGGTGATAGACAAGACGGACTGGTATAGCTAGTATATTAAGAGGTTTGTACTTTTTGATAAGTGCAACAAACCGGTGACCATGGCTGAAAACTAAATGTATGTTCCTTTTTTGCTTAGCAGGTGAAGGAAGGTGAAATCCTTACGTAGTCAAGTAGATTGGAAACTTGTAGTCATGAGTGTTACTCTCTTATAGTTATATGAATGTAAGGTTTTGGTATGTTTGTAGAAATTTTATATACGTGACACAGTATCTTATTCATGACACCAAAAAGCAAGCCTTACAGCAGGGATAAAACTCGCTGAATTGCAGAAAGTTTGCATACACAAATTACAACAGACAAGACAGGCGATATATAAGCAGGCGATACTAGTATATAAGAAATGTTTGTCATGTAGTAGTAACCAATGGATGGAAAGCCTGGACATTTTTCTTCTCACACAGATTTTTGAAGTATGCTATGAAGAACAACATTCCACTGCCAGACATGACCAGGGGACCGTTCCATTTCTACCAGGGGGTAGACTCACCCGGAGGGGACATCATCAAAGCTACCAGTCTGAAGAACAATCCGGAGGTAAGAGACAACATACTTTACTACTTACTGCCCTTAATGCCAGTCCCTGCATGTACGGCAGCAACAAAGGTTCTCCATTAAGTTTCCTCTGTCCTGGGCAATTTTTTTAATGCTATCCCTAGTGTGGTGGAAGCTCTTCAGTTCTTTTGCAGCTATTCTTTGCCAAGTGATCTTAAGCCGTCCTTGTTTTCTCTTCCCTTCAGGTGTCCAATGTACTAGTACTATTCTTGTTACTTCGGTTACTTTAACTGCTGTCTTTCCCCCAGGCCATGAAGAAGAGATGCCTGGAGGCTGAACAGTGTGTTGCCTTCAGCTCTGCAGGGATGCTGAAGAGTAGGGTCAAACCTCCACATCTTTGGCAGCAAGCAGCCTTTTCCAGCCCTGAACAGGGCATCTATGTAGCAGGTAAGAGTTTCTCCATTCCTGAACAAGGCATCTACATGTCATGTATATAAGTAGCAGGTAAGAGTTTCTCCGGCCCTGAACAAGGCATCTACATTGTATGTATCAGGTAGGGGTTTCTGTAGCCCTAAACAGGGCATCTACTGGGATACATTGTATGTACATTGTAGCAGGTAAGGGTTTTTCCAGCCCTGAATACTTGGCAGGGCATCCATGTAGCAGGTAATGCTTTTTCCAATGTTTGTGTTTGTACTGTATAATATATGTGTCTGTGTGCCTGTGTGTGCCTTTGCGTGTGCAAATGAATTGCCTGTCCCTTTGTATAGGACAAGCAAAACAGCTATGCTATTGGTAAAGTAATGTTCCTAGGCATTTTAGTGTGAATTTATAGGAAAGATTGGGTCTATTTATTAGTTATTGCCATTTTGTTTATTTATTTACTTTGTGTGAGTTACCTTATGTATATAATTATTACTTTGTTTTCATTTGTGAGCAAGTAGTATTTGTGTTATGACCCCCTGACACTCCTCCACGCTCGACCTCTATGAAAAGCGGCCGAAATAGCGGCCGATTAGAGCATGAAACATAGTTACAGATCGAGTTGAAATAAAGGCTCAAACAAACAAACAAATACAATGTGACATTTCTTTAGTTTATTCAACAAGTTGCCTGACGTTGTATTATCAGCCTAAAGCATGTGTTACAAATAACTACAAGTGCAATATGAACATGCAAATAAAGCCTGAACACTCTGAATCTTATATCCTATCAAATAATCATCAAACCCTGTCCATCAACCAAGTTAATTATACACAGCATAGCAACACACACAATACAATGTACATAATGATATACAGCCAACAGTCTTAAAGATAACACACACAGTTACACACTGACAAGTAAGCCCTTTTCATCAGCCTAGTTAAAAGCAATTGGCACTGATTGAAGTTTGTCCATCAGCCATACTAATAATAACATATGCTGATTAAGCTTTATCAGCCTAGTTAATAATAACACACACAGTTAACTTAATCAGTTAGTACTCCACACTGATGAAACCCTTTTCATCCTCCTTGTTAAAAATGATTGACACTGATTGAAGACTGTCTATCAGCCAAATTAATAATAACATACACTGATCAGGCTAGTTAATAAGAATGTTACTGTTAATAATAACACATTGATAAAGATCTTTTCATCAGCCTAGTTGATAATGATACACACTGGTTAAAGTCTCTCCTGGTTAAAGTTAGTAATATCACACACTAATTACAAGCTCTGGCTCTCAACCCATCACCTCAATATACAGTCCATACCATGACGAGACAAACAGACAATAGGACTAGTGCACGTTCAATTTACAATGTACAACATCGTGTACGTGGGAAATTTCCCAACATTTTGCACATACGGGCCTTAAAGCCAATCTTACTAGTACAAGACTAGTGAATTCACATGCTCTGATAGTCACTTGCTGAATATATATTCAAACTTAAGAACAGAGCTTCAAAAGGGTATCAAGACATGTAGTTTCAAAAATCCAGGCTTTTGGAATATGATACTACATATTGACACATGTAGAAAGTAGCAGACATGGGGTGGTGACTGTGTCTTAATGACCTGTCAAATCATCAGGCATCAGCATTTTGATGCTGCATCTGGTCATGACCACCGGTTGTTACAGTAACTGTGGTGTCTGTACTATTGTACACAACACCAGGTGTGGTGTCTGTACTGTTGTACACAACGCCAGCTGTGGTGTCTGTACTGTTGTACACAACGCCAGCTGTGGTGTCTGTACTGTTGTACACAACACCAGCTGTGGTGTCTGTACTGTTGTACACAACACCAGGTGCGGTGTCTGTACTGTTGTACACAACACCGGGGTCTGGGGCAACAGTAGAGCGATTCCTGGTCCACCTCTTCCAACAGAGTGTTAGAACGATGCTACCAATGAGAACAAGGCCAGCTGCTGTGCCAGCAATAGTGGCAATGGGAACAGACAGCGATGGATTGGGATCAGATTCAGGTTCTTCTGGAGGTGAAGAATGGACAAGGACAGGTACAGAGAAAGTGGGATCCGATTCAGTCTGTTCTGAAGGTGTAGAGCTAGTATTGATGGGTAGGGAGGAAGTCTTAGAAGCTGCAAGGTGTTGTGAAGGACCTGGTGTAGAATCAGGTAGGGAGGAACTGGGAGAAGATAAGAGGTGTTCTGATTCTGAAGGTGTAGAGCCAACAAGTGCAGGTGGGGAGAAAGTAGGAGAAGATGCAAGGTGTTTTGAAGGACTTGGTGTAGAATCAGGTAGGGAGGAACTGGGAGAAGATAAGAGGTGTTCTGAAGGTGTAGAGCCAACAGATACAGGTGGGGAGAAAGTAG